CAAGGGCCTAGACATGGGCCTTGTATGGCGCAAATTTAGCCAGCATGCTGAGTTCTCTGCTAATGCTTCAGACTTTTCTCTCTCTTTGTTTGGTTTTCCTAGTATGTGCCTTTCTCCCCCATCACAAAATATATTAACAGGAAAGACCTGTTGGTAATGAATGCTGTAATGGAACAATGATTAACAAAGAGTTTCCTCACTCATTTCCTCTCATACTGTATCCTGATTATTCAGGAAGGCTGGGATTGAGAAGTGAAGACTGAAGAGAGGAAACGCCAAAGCCAGCCTCTCTGCTTATCTACTGACCCACTTGTTTCAGAGCAATTCATGACAAATATATAAATCATAAAATAAATGTCCAGCTCTGCATTCCTGAGATTAAACCATCCGCCAAGTTCCCAGCTCTTGGCTTTAAAGCCACAGTTATTAGCCCTCCTCCCTCGACTCTGATAGGAATCTTCGCAGAACTCTAAAACCTACACAGAAAGAAGCAGAGCTGTTGCTGCTGGAGTTCATCTTCTCCCACAGCAAATAAATAGTCTCTGCTCCCTTGGCTTGAAGGGCCCAGGGTTCCTAGGCATCCACTGTAAACAGTTCTAATTTGGAACATGTTTCTTACAGGTTTATTGTATTTCTGGTGGTGTCAGTGAGAAATATCTCTTACAGGCCTCTTTATTTAAGCATTTGGTTCCCCGTCAATGGTTCTGTGTGGAGAGGATGTGGAACCTTGCTGGAGGAAATACGTCACTGGAAGTAGGCTTTGGGCATTTATTGTTTCACCCCACTTTCTGCTTTCTGTTTCTGCTTCCTGTCTGTAAATAAAAATGTGATCAGCCAGCTTCCTGCTCCTGCCACTAGGTCATGCCCTCCGTGTTATGATGACCTCTCTCCTGAAACTAAAGCCAGAACCAACCCTTTTCTTCCTTAAGTTGATTTTGGTCAGAGCTCCATCACAAGAGAAAGTAACTAATGCAGTATTCCTTCTTTTAAATTGGCTTGGAGCTGTTAAATAGTTATCTAAAAGATAGGGGTTATGGAAATTTGATTCTTTAAAAGTTATGGTTTCTGGGTTTTTTTTTGTTTGTTTGTTTTGTTTTGTTTTTTGTTTTCTTCATTATATATCCTAAACTTTTTTATTTTGGATTGACTTCAGGCTCTTCACTGAGACATTTTATGTTTCTTAGTCTGCGGTGTGTGGAAAAGACACAGTTCATTATAGCAGAAATCTCTGGGAATAGGAGTGTTGGTCCTAATAACAGGTCTTGTACCACAGAGGGGCACAGGATCTGGAATGCAGATGGTTGCAGTGGAATCTGTTCCTGAATACTTGACTCTGTTTTCTGAGTTGTTTTGTTTTTTGTTTGTTTGTTTTGTTCTAAGATGGGGTTTCACTGTGGTATAGCGCTGGCTGGCCTAAAACTCAGAGAGATCTGCCTGCCTCTTCTGAGTCCTTTGGATTTGGCTGCTAAGATATTTATATGCACAATTGTATGTGACTCTCCCACTCTACACAAGGAAAGGATCTCAGTTCCTGTCAAGTAGCATCATTTAGGAAACTATGTGCCTTTAAAGCCTCCCAACTTTTCCTGCCCCATGTATTTTCTCATTTAAGATAAAGCTTGGCTTGGGGAACTATGTTGAGTGTTCTGTGTTCTGGTATGTTGGGAGTTTGGAGTTGCACAGTGTAGCCATGGCATCATCCCTTTTACAACTTTGCCTTGTGCACCTCTGATTAATGTAAAAAAAAAAAAAAACAAACAAACAAAAAAAAAGCATTTTTTTTTTTTTTTAAAGAAGAATTCCTGTAAATGACCTGGAAAGATGGCTCTGTGCACAAAGTACTTGCTGTGCAGGCCTTATGATCTAAATTCAGGTCCTCAGAACTCACACAAAAGCTAGATTCTGGCATGCCTTGAATACTTCTGGCCCAAGATGGCCTCCTGCAGCTGGGAGATGCAACGTATCTCCTGGCATGCCCTGTTGACTTATAAGTTCTGCACTAAGAACTGAGCTATACTAGTTTGTATAGGCAAGGAGGACAACTATGAGGAAGCTCACACTCCATGTTACATTACTCAGTGGAAACTGGTCACTCAGTGTGTCATTATACACAGGTAACCTAGGGGGAGGATCATGCTGAGTTTAAACAATGGAATTTTTTTTCTTCTCAAGTTCTTGCTGGGCATTTTTCCAGTTTGCCAACCAAGTGGACATGTGTGCCCTGTTCTTGATGCAGCTGCCAGCATATAAATTGTAAATATATGTGTGCTACAGCAAGACTCTGCTGTCACACTTTTGTAAGTGTCCTGTATAACTCTACTTCTAAACTATGCCCTCAAAAGTTGTGTATAAGTCCATATAGGTGAGTGCTCTTTCATGTATCAAACTGTATTCTGCAAAGGACCAAAATGTAGGAGATGTGAAATACAATGGGAGGAAAGCCTGCCCTCAAAGGGTAAACACATCAACTCATCGCTGCTGTCAGATAAAGAGCCTGGTGTTGCGAAAGAAAGACAGAGAGAGAGAGAAAGAAAGGGAGGGAGGGAGAAAGAAAGGAAGGAAAAGAGAGAAAAAGAGAAAGAAGGGAAGGAAGGAAGGAAGATGCTGGTGATATAAACAACAGAATTCTTAAACGCTTACAGACCACCAGTTCACAGTAGTGAACAAGAGGCCCTGTCTCAAATAAGGTAGAAAGCAAAGACTGATAACCAAGTTCATCCTCTGACCTCTATTCTCTGCACTTAGGTGCCATACCCCTTCAACATCCCTCCAACACACACAGACCATTGGCAATAAGTTCTGAACAGGACTGGAGAGATGACTCAGTTGTTAAGAACACCTGAGTTTGGTCCTCAGCACCTGTGGTGAAGCAACTCAACAACTGCCACACATGTACTCACACAAGTACAATACATGCTTCCTCACACATACCTCTTAAATAAATAAATAAATAAATAAATAAATAAATCTTATTTAAGTTGTGAGCATGGTCATCTTCCCAGAATGTTATAATTCAATTAATTGATATCCAGTCCTTTGTAGCTTGTAGTATGTTTCGAGTATTTTACTGTCTTTTTAGAAAGAGTTTGGATGGAGTCCAGTGGTTAAAAGACTTTACTGGTCTTAACAAAGATTAAGGGTTTGGTTCTCAGTTCCCATGTCACTTACAACTGCCTGTAACTCCAATTCCAATGCCTTCATTTGGCTTTGTGGGTATCTGCACACACACACATACAAATAAAAATTTTAAATAAATTAATTTAAAAAAAGAATTTGGATTATTCCCTGTACAGATTAATAATGTGAGTTGTTTCTCCAAATAAAAGAATTTGTGAACATATAGTTTGCTGTAAGCTTCAATAAACAGCTTTCTGACTCCCAGGAGGCACCAAGAGGATAGGCAACTTCCCATGGTAACTCAGCAATCCAGTGAAGTTGTGTTAGCATTTGAACTACTGCAGTCTAGAGCTAAGTCAGTGCTCCTACTAATCAAAATTTATTTCTGTTAAAAATTGACACCTGCACACACACACACATACACATACACACACGTATGAAAAAATAATCAGTTTGGTAGTGGTGGCATACACCTTTAATCCCAGCACTTGGGAGGCAGAAGCAGGCAGATCTCTGAGTTCGAGGGCAGCGTGGTCTACGGAGTGAGTTCCAGGACAGTCAGAGCTGAAACAGAGAAACCCTGTCTTGAAAAACAAAACAAACAAATTGGAAGCTGGAGAGATGGCTCAGTTGTTAAGAGCATTGGCTGCTCATCTGGAGGACCCAGGTTTGATTCCGATAACCCACAGCTATCTGTAACTCCAGTTCTACAAATCTGATACCCTCTTCTTCCATGGGATCCAGGCATACAGATGGCACAGACATACATACAGGCAAATACATATGCTAGAATATGTACTCCTTGTAAATATTTAGTTAGAGTAAAAAAATTTAGATACTGACCTAAAATAATGAGGGAAGGGCTTTTACATATTGCAAATTATCTGGGTTGAGAAGTCTGTAGGTAAATGAGGCTGGAGAGATGACACAGTGGTTAAGGGCTGCTCTTGCAGAGAATCCAGGCTCAAATTCTGAGCACCCACATGGTCGCTAATAACCATCTATAGTAACAGTTCCAGGAGATCTAATGCTCTTTTCTGGCCCTCGTGGACACCAGACATATACAGTACACAGACATGTATGCAGACGAAAATACCATATACATGAAATAAAAATAAATCCTTAAAGAGCGTGCACATAAAAAATAATTAAGCACAGTCAAAGGTGAGACACAGCTGTTCACGCTGTCCTCACCTTGTACAATTTCTATATGTGTAGTATGTATATGTGTGTGCATATGCATACATGTGTGTACCTGTACATGACAAAGTTAAGGTTGTTTTCTTTAATTGTTCTCCGCCTTTATATTTCGAGACAGTGTTTCTTACTGAACCTGAAGTTAGTTCATCAGTTAGTCTAAACTGTCTGGTCAGTGAGCTTTGTCCATCTGTCACTTGCCCTTCCCCCAGGCCAGGGTTACAAGAATACACATCAATGTCTAACTTTTATGTTGGTTTTAGACCATTCAAAGTCAGATCCTTGTGCCTGTGCAGTTTATTCTCTGTGCTAATGTGGCAGAGTATGGAAGGTCCTAAAGTTAGCTAGGCGTGTGGCGCATGTCTTTAACCCCAGCACTCAGGAGACAGAGACAGGCAGATCTTTGTGAGTTCAAGACCAGCCTGAACTACAGTTCCAGGCCAGCCAAGGCTACAAAGTGAGACTATTTGTCTCCAAAAATAAATAAAACACAACCTCCTTTGTTTAGGGCTGGGTTAGTTGATTAGCCGAGAGTGCTAGCCTAACATTCACAAAGCTTTGGGTTACACACACACACACAGTAAAACAACAGCAAAAGCCACTTTTGTTTGTCTTATCATGAAATAATTTCCTTCTGAGCTGGTTTCAATTATTTAAGTTGATGGCCCTTATTTTTTTTCTTTCAGTTTGAAGGAAGGAAGTACTGTGAACATGATTTCCAAATGCTCTTTGCTCCTTGCTGCCACCAGTGTGGTAAGTTTTACTGCTGAATAGAAGTAAAAATAAGTTTCACAATCATGTAAGCCACTGTTGTAGTTTTGGCTCTATTGCTATGACAAAACACTCTGACTGAAAACCGAGGGGAGGAAGAGCTTATTTTTTCTTATACTTCCAGGTAACAGTCCATCACTGAGGGAAGTCAGGGCAGAAACTTGAAGCAGAAGCCATGGAGAAATAGCTTGCTGGTTTTCCAACAGGCCTAAGCTCAGCTACTGTTCTCTACTTCACAGTCCAGAACCACTTGCCCAGGGAATTGTGCCAGCCATAGTAGACTGGGCCCTCCTAGATAACTAACAATCAAGACAATCCCCTAGAGACATGTCCACAGGCCAAGCTGGTTTGGGTCCTCAACTGGGACTCCCTTCTCAGGTGACTCTAGGATATGTCAAGTTGACAGTTAAAGTTAACTAGAAGAGTCATTTAATGCTAAGAGACAGTCTATCTATCCTCTCTGTATTGCTAGTATATACCAAACTAAATATGGACCAAAATATGGACAGAATTGGTTTTTATGAACATGTGGGTAAAAGCCTTGTAGTGTGCCTTCTACAGTGCTTTTCCTCTACACGTAGCCTTTGCCAACTTGCTTGTGGTCTGGCCAGAAAAGAGACAGGGACTATTTCAATTGACTGGATAAAGGTGTGTATGTACTTAACTAGTTATTGTAGCCACCTCAGTCATGGCTAAACTGAACATTTCTAAGGACTAGAGATCCTGAATTCAATGTTAAAAATGCTTAGTGAAGGAAGTCAGTGTGGATTATGAAAAAAGTATAGCCAGGCATGTTCCCACCACTCTAAAAACAGAGGCAGGAGGATCTCTGAATTTGAGGCCAGCCTCGTCTTCATAGCAAGTTCCAGGCTAGTCAGGGATACATAGTGAAACCTTGTCTCAAAAACACAGCAAGAGCAAAAAACAGAAAATGTGTTGTAGAGACTGAAGTTATAACACTTAATGATAGAACATGTGCTTAGCATTCATAAGGCTCTTGGGAGTGATATGTAAGAGAGAGAGTAAAAGGAAAAAGTGCCATAGATTTCAGTTGTCTTTGTCAACAATGTCTATAAACAGCTAAGAAGCACTGGAAAAGCTTGGAAAGGAAAGCCGTGATATGATGTTGTGTGATATGTTATGGTATGGTATGCTATGATATGACCAGTTTTAAAATGTGGCTACAAAACAAAGAAATGGGGAAGCAAATAAAAAAATCATAAGATCATTTGTGTTCTCTTACTCTAACACATAATGTACAAGGTCTTCTTTTAAATTAGGCAGGTAATGCAGACCTGTAATCCAGATACATGCAAGGCTGCAGCAGGAGTATCTCAGGTTTAAGGGCCTCTGGACACTGAGGCCCTGTGTCAAAAATTAAAAGGGAAAATTCCGAGAGCTGGAGATGTGATATTGTAAAGATCACTTAGGAGTAAAGCAGTAGCTTAGTATTCAAGGAGCAGTAGAGTCAATCCCTAGTAACCCCTCCTTAAACACTTTTCCCTTTTATTTATAGCAAATAAGACACCTTATAACATTCTTTGTGTTTTACTTTTCCACAGGTGAATTCATCATTGGCCGGGTTATTAAAGCCATGAACAACAGCTGGCATCCTGAGTGCTTTCGATGTGACCTCTGCCAGGAAGTGCTGGCAGACATAGGGTTTGTCAAGAATGCTGGCAGGTAGGAGTTGTCCCTCTTTGTCAGATGTGGGATCCAAAGGGGCTATTCGGGTCTTATGCATTTTTTGTGTAGAGTCATTGCTTTATTGTATGAGAACTCAGAACTAACCATTTACTGACTTGCTTAGTACCCTGGGAAATGACCCCAGAGCTTAGTCACATGCCTCCTTGCATGCCTCCTGTTCTACCAGGAAGAGGTGAGCAGTGGTGAAGCTCATGTACATCAGTAAATTATTAGTAAAACAAATTTATTCCTGCACTTTGATTCTGGTTTACTAATAGCACAGAAGATAGTTTTCTTAAAAATTGGTTTCTTTAATTTCTATTTAGAGAAATGAAATGTACATTTCTTTTTACTTTTTTATTAATTGCAGTTTATTCACTTTGTATACCAGTTGTAGCCTTCGCCCCCATCCCCTCCAAATCCCACCTTCCCTCCCTCTTTTCCTCTATTGGCCCTCCCCCAGGCCACTGATAGGGGAGGTCCTCCTCCCTTTCCATCTGATCCTAGCCCATCAGGTCTCATCAGGACTGGCTGCATTGTCTTCCTCTGTGGCCTGGTAAGGCTGCTCCCCCATTAGAGAGATGTAATCAAAAAACCAGCCACTGAGTTCAGAGTCAGAGTCAGCATCCCTGTTCCCCTTACTTAGGGAACCCATTTGGACACTGAGTTGCCATGGGCTACATCTGTGCAGGGTTTCTAGCTTATCTCCAGGCATGGTCCTTGGTTGGAGTATCAATCTCAGCAAAGACCCCTGGACCCAGATTTTTTGGTTCTGTTGCTCTCCTTGTGGAGCTCCTGTCCCTGCCAGGTCTTTCTATCTCTCCCTTCTTTCATAAGATTCCCTACACTCTGCCCAAAGTTTGGCTATGAGTCTCAGCATCTGCTTCGATACCCTACTCGGTAGAGTTTTTTAGAGGCCCTCTGTGGTAGGCTCCTGTCCTGTTGCCTGTTTTCTCCTTCTTGTGATGTTTATCCCATTTGCTTTTCTGAGTGAGGATTGATCATCTTACCCAGGGTCCTCCTTCTTGCTTAGCTTCTTTAGGTTACAGATTTTAGTATGATTATCCTATATTATATGTCTAATATCCACTTACAAATGAGTATATACCATGTGTGTCTTTCTGCTTCTGGAATACCTCACTCAGGATAATCTTTTCTAGTTCCCACCATTTGTCTGCAAATTTCATGATTTCCTTGTTTTTAATTGCTGAGTAATATTCCGTTGTGTAAATGTGCCACAGTTTCTGTATCCATTCCTCAGTTGAAGAACATATGGGTTGTTTCCAGATTCTGGCTATTATGAATAAAGCTGCTTCTGATGTGGTTGAACAAATGTCCTTGTTGTGTCCTTGAGTATATTTTGGATATATGCCTAGGAGTGGTATAGCTGGTTAAAAAGAACTTATGATTTTAAATTTTCATTTTTTGCCCTGTATAGACACCTATGTCGCCCATGTCATAATCGTGAAAAGGCCAGAGGCCTTGGAAAATACATCTGCCAGAAATGCCATGCCATCATTGATGAACAGCCTCTGATTTTCAAGAATGACCCTTACCACCCAGACCACTTCAATTGTGCCAATTGCGGGTATTACAGTATTTTCCTGACATTCTGTAAAATAATAGAATTAAAGTGGAGGAGTAGAGTTACCTATGTTTCTGATACTGCAGCAAACCAACTTGTTTTTTTCAAGCTTTTATTTTATTCTATTTGGGGTGTGTGTGTGTGCACTTAGGGTCTTGTGCATGTTAGGCAAAGGGTCTGCTATGAGGTTAAACCCTCAGTTCTCCAACTTTTACCATTAGACCTAGAGAGAGACCAAGAGTGTTATGTAATGGCTGTACTCTACAGATAATGATCTGTGCTAGCTAGTTATTCAGTGTTCCGTGAGTGAATTTATTAAGTAGATAGTAAGCAAAGTAGAAGAACAATTAGCAGATGGTACATAAGAAGGAATAGACAGCCTAATATCACCCCGAATCAGGTACTTACAACATCCAGCAGAAACAAGTAGAGTAGCCTAATTTGAGCAAGCAGGTAGATGTAGCATCATCAGGTTAGGCACTTAGAACATCCATTAGAAATGACTAAAGACATTTTGCTGAAAGTTGTGCTTGAGTTATTTTTTATTTGTATTGGTGTTTTGCTTAATTGAATTGTGTGTACCATGTACGTACCTGGTACCCACAGAAGTCAGGAGAGTTCATTAGGTACCCTGGAACTAGAGTTAAAAATGATTGTCAGCCATCACGTTAATGTTAGAATTGAACCCAGGTCATCTGCAAGAACAACAAGTACTCTGATTCTCTGAACCACTGAACCATCTCTCCAGTTCTCATGTTTGAGGTTTGTTTGTTTGTTTTTTCAATGTTTTTCGAGGCAGGGTTTCTCTGTGTAGCTTGGCTATCCTGGAACTCACTCTGTGGACCAGGCTGCCAGGCTAGCATCGAACTCAATCTGCCTACCTAGGTTGTGCCAATACAGCCCAACTCATGTTTGAAGTTTTTTGTTTGTTTTGTTTTGTTTTTTCGTGACAGGGTTTCTATGTAACAAGGGTCCTGGCTGTCCTGGACTCGCTTTGTAGACCAGGCTAACCTCAAACCCATAGGTGGCTTGCCTCTGCCACCTCTCCTGGCATGTTTGAGTTATTGATTGAGAAATTTCTAGACAGAGCAGAATGATCTCTCCATGGATGAGCTTCTGACTTACCATTCCCACAACAGGCATGCTTATAACTGTTGGAAATGGTTCACTTTCTAGCTGTTCTCAAAGGCTCAATTCTTTTAAAAACCTTAGTTGTCTACTGTCTTTCTTCCCTTTTGTAGCACTAGAGGGCCAGCCTGCCCCAGAACAGGAAGTCTTGAAGAACACTTGAAATAATTACGCTGGATTCTGGGATCTAGAAAGATGGCTCAATAGTTGAGAGCATTTGCTACTCTTCTATGGAATGCAGCCTCAACTCCTAGCACCTGCATGGCAACATACAGCCCTCTGTAACATCAGTTCCAGTGGATCTAATGTTCTCTTTTGGCCTTTGCAGGCACCAGTCACACATGTAGTACACAGACATACATGCAAAAGAGAGTACCTGTACACATAAAACTTTTTAAAGCCCATGACAATTTATCTTTTCTTATTATTTTTTGTCTTAGTAGTTTATTTATTCTTTGACAATTTCATATGTATATATAGCATGTTTTAATGAAAATCACCTCTATTCTCTCTTATCCTTGTAATTATAGTCTACTTAGTTTAGTTAGGGTTGTTTGCAAGTATATGGCTATGGAGTTATACACTGGATCATGGACACCTTACCAATGGCTACACCCCTGAAGATAAATTGATTCCCCTTCCACCAGCAGCCAGTAACTACCAATAACTCCTAATGAGGGGCCTCATGGGCCCCTCATTCAATATAATGTATATTTTAATATTAATAAACCCTTGTCTATCACAGGCTGTTTACAAAATCACAGTCCTCCTTCCTCAGCCTTTCAAGTGTTGGGATTACAAATATGGACCTCTCTTCCTGTACCCAGTACTGGGAGTTTGTTTGTTTGTTTGTTTGTTTGTTTGTTTGTTTTTGTTTTTTGTTTTTCAAGACAGGGTTTCTCTGTGTAGCCTTGGCTGTCCTGGACTTGCTTTGTAGACCAGATTGGCCCTGAACTCACAGAGATCCACCTGCCTCTGCCTCCCTGAGTGCTGGGATTATAGGCGTGCACCACCATGCCCGTCTAGTACTGTGAGTTTTAAGAAAGACAGACTGAAATGTAATATGTTATTATAAGAAAATGATATATGACTGAAGTGGCATGTGTCTGACTCTCCTTGTGTCTCACCATTAATACAAATTACTGGTAACAATCTAAAATCTCTTAATTCAGGTTTCTCAGATCACCTTGGATGAGGGGAAAATAGAAATTATCAAAAATTAAGCTTCTTCTCTTGGGTACCTGTTAGCTGTACAGTAGTATTCATTTAATGTCTTTTGATGAACAGGAAGGAGCTAACTGCTGATGCCCGGGAGCTAAAAGGGGAGCTATACTGTCTGCCATGTCATGATAAGATGGGGGTCCCTATCTGTGGTGCCTGTCGGAGGCCCATTGAAGGGCGAGTAGTGAATGCCATGGGCAAGCAATGGCATGTGGAGGTAAGTACAGCCTGACCAAAGGCAGCCAGTAGTTTTAATTTCCATGCCTCAAGTATGCTAGCAAGATAAGAACAGGCTAAGGAATAAATGTGGAAACTTTTAAAAACAGTTGACTTTTGTCCTAATTTGATTCTCTATCACTGTGATTAAAAACAAACAAACAAACAAATCTGACCAAACCAAGTGTGATTCCTTTAATCCTAGCATGTGGGAGGCAGAGCCAGGAGGAACTTTGAGTTCAGGGCTAGCCTGGTCTATGTAGTGAGTTTCAGGACAGCCAGGATTACCTAGAGACCCCGACTCAAAAACAAAACAAGCAACAACAGCTAAGCAAAAGCACCTTGGGAGAAGAAAGGGGTATTATGGATTACAGGTTATTGTCTATCCTGAAGTGAAGCCAAGGCAGGAACTGGAGCAGACCTATGAGAAATGCTGATTCTTGGCTTGTTTCCAGGCTCATTGTCAGCTACCTTTCTTACACAGCCTCTGCTCACCTGCACAGGGATGGTAGCACCCACAGTGGGCTGGGCCCTCCAAGATAATTAGCAAGCAAGAAAATACCCCACAGACATGCTCATGAGCCAGTCCGTAGAGGCAACTCAGAATTATAGACTAGTTTGTGTTAAGTTGACAAAAATTAACACACACCTGTGATCCCAGCACTTGGGAGGCAGAGGCAGGTGGATCCCTGAGAGTTCAAGAGGAGCCAAGTGAGTCCAGGACAGCCAAGGCTACACAAAGAAACTCTGTCTCGAAAAAAAACCAAACAACAACAACAAAAACCTTAAGCAGCACAAGTTTATGGTAAATAAAAAAATCTAAAATGTTTTAACGTGACAGTATAATGCAGAATGTGTACTTTGTTCTTAAATCCTTCTTGAAGATAAGATTGTCACATCCAACAACAATTACTCTCAATTACAAACACTACTGAGTTACCCATCTCTTTCATGTCTTATATGATAGGCTGTATTTTTAAAGATTATTTTATTGTACATGTATGAATGTTTTACCTGCACATATGTGCTTAGTGCCTGTGAAGGTGAGACAAGGGCATCAGATCCTCTAAAACTGAAGTCATGGATAGTCATAAGTTGCCATGCTGGTGCTGGGACTAAACCCAGATCCTACTCCAGAGCAGCAGGTGCTTCTAACTGCTGAGCAGTTACTGTTTGCTTTTGTTTTTTTAAGACAGGATTTATCTGTGTAGCCTGGCTGTCCTGAAACTCACTCATTAGACCAAGCTGGCCTCAAACTCAGAGATCTGCCTGGCTCTGCCTCCCGAGTGCTAGGATTAAATGTGTGCGCCATCATGCCCTGCTGTTTAGCAGTTATCTTGAGGTAACCCATTAGAGCCTCATAAACCTCAGAATGAGACAATAAAAGTGTCTAGTCTTCCTGGGTATGAAGGTGCACACCTTTAATACCTGCATTCAGGACGCAGAGGCTGTGGATATCTGTGAATTCCAGCAGACCAAGCCTGGTCTACAAGGTAGATTTTAAGTCAGCCCCAGCTAATAGCTCTACATAGTGAGGCACTGTCATCTAAAAGGGGAGAGGGGGAATCTGGGTATTGATACTGCTATCTTCTCTAAGAATTGATTAACTTTGAGGTTACTTTGTTAGCTAAATCCAATTACAACATTTTAAAGATAATATATTCAATTTTTTTTCTTTAGCATTTTGTTTGTGCCAAATGTGAAAAACCATTTCTTGGGCATCGCCATTATGAGAGGAAAGGCTTGGCCTATTGTGAAACTCACTATAATCAGGTAATGATTGTACTTACATTTGATACATGCAAATTGAAACTCATCAATGTTTTGGCTATAGAAAGTTCTCAGAAAATGTGCATTGGTCTACAGAGATGTATTTAAATCTGTGAGTCTCAGAATACTCACTAAGTGATGTACAGACCATATGGATCCACCTTTACCCACAATCTCCCTGTGCTTCCTCTGGTGCATTTGATTTTACTATAGAAATATAGACCTTTACATTCATGCACATATATTTATGTACAGACGTGTATATGCATTTAAATGATTATAGGAGTGTTGATTTTGTTTTGAGATTTTTATTGTTGTTGTTTGTAGATTTAGATTTTTCACCAGACCTACTCTAGGGTTCTTCAACGCTTCTACGTCCCTTCCACCCATTGACCAGAGGTGTGGGAAAAAGAAGGTTATTAGGAAAAAAGAGTTGTAGACCTTTTTTTTTAAAGTAGTTCCTTGGGGTGAGTCCACTCTTCGTTGTCTGGATACCAGCATTCTAGTCCAAATACCAATACCAAACAGCAGCATGGATCAGCACAATTCAGCAGATAGGGACAAGTCAGTGAAAACCACAAGACTCAATTGGATTGCTCTGAGAAGTTCTCTGGAATGTTCTCTCTGTGAAGTGTCGAAGCACAAAGATCAGTGCAGCTATGTTGATCCAAAAAGCGTGTCTCACTCCATGCTCCTTTCCTCAGAGTCTACCCACCAATGTTCTCAGCTGGCCAAAGTCAAGGCCCTCCCATGAGAGAGCTCACAGCCAAACATTATGTGCCCTCTCATAAGACAGCTTCTAGCAAAACATCACATGACACATCTGAGTCTTCAAAAAAACCAGAAACTTCCACTTCAGTGGTTTTTGAGACATTGTTTTTCTGTGTAACAGAGCCCTGGCTGTCCTGGAACTCACTTTGTAGATCAGGGTGGTCTCAAACTCACAGAGATCTGCCTGCCTGATTGTTTTTATTTTATGTGTATGAGTGTTCACCCAAATGTGTGTCTGTGGACATCACGTGTGCAATGCCTGTAGGTGCCAGAAGAGGGTATTGGATCCCCCAGGACTAAAGTTATAGACAGTTGTGATCTGCTGTGTAGGTGTTGGGAATTGTAGCATTGTAGCCTCCTTTGTCTCCTTCTGGCCCCACCTCTCCCTCTTCTCCTCTATTCCTCTCCCCTATTTCTCAGAAATGGGGAGCCATCCTCCCCTACAATCTAAACCTAGCCTTTCAAGTTTCATCAGGACTGCTTGCTTCTATTCCTCTGTAGCTTGGCAATGCCCCCTAACCAAAGGGAAGTGATCAAAGAGCAGGCAAAAGAGTCCATGTCAGAGACAGCTCCTGCTCCCCTTACTAGGAATCCCACAAGAAAACTGATCTGCCTGTTGGCTACATCTGGGTTTCTGGTTTTTCAAGACAAGATTTTTCTGAGTAGCTCTGGCTGTCCTGGGGCTAACTCTGTAGACCATGCTGGCCTCTAACTCAGACTGCCTCTGCCTCCTGAATGCTGGGATTAAAGACATTTGCCACTACCACCTGGATTATGCCTAAGTTTTTTAAAAAATATTTTTATTACTTCTGTGAGAATTTCATACAATGGGTTTTTATCACAGCCACACCTATCTCCCTCTAACTCCTCCCAGGATCATCTACCTTCCTATTTCCTACCTTTTTATCTTATAAGCCCCAGGTTCATGTCTTTTTTTTATTTTATTTTTTATATTAATCACAGTTTATTCACTTTGTATCCCAGCTGTAGCCTTCCCTTGTCCCCTCCCAATTCCCCTCTCCCTACTCTCTTCCCCATGCCCCCCCCCCCCAGTCCACTGATAGGGGAGGTCCTCCTCCCCTTCCATCTGACCCTGTCAGGTCTCATCAGGACTGGCTGCATTGTCTTCCTCTGTGGCTTAGCAAGGCTGCTCCCCATTAGGGGGAGGGGATCAAAGAGCCTGCCACTGAGTTCATGTCAGAGACAGACCCTGTTCCCCTTACTAGAGAACCCACTTGGACAATGAGCCGCCATGGGCTACATCTGAGCAAGGGTTCTAGGTTATTTCCATGAATGGTCCTTGGTTGAAATATCAGTCTCAGAAAAGACCCCTGTGCCCAGATTTTTTTTTTTTTAATAACCCATCAACTCTAGTTTACATCTCAGTGTGGGGCTATCCACTGGAGAATGGTCAACTTACCAGGAGCTACATTCTCTTAAAAAAAAGTTGACTTTCCTTAGAAGGAGAGTCAGTTAGGGGTCAGAGCTTTTAACAATAAGCATTTGAGAGCCGTGTACATGCCTTTAATCCCAGCACTTGGTAGGCAGAAGCAGGTGAATCACTGTGAGTTTGAGGCCAGCCTGGGCTACAGAGTCCAGGACAGCCAAGGCTATATAGAAAAACCCTGTCTATAAAAAAAAAAAAAAGCAATAAGCATGTTCCTTTACCCCGTATGTTTCAATGTATATTCCCTAGAATACATAATGCTCATAAATCATGGTTATCAGTATTGATATTGTAATTAAATTCCAGTTTTATTTATTAGGCATTTACCTATCTATTTATCTAGAGACAGGGTTTCTCCATACTACAACCTCCTAAGTACTGGGATACACCCTCACCCCAGCCCAATAATGTTCTTACAGTTCTTTTTTTTTTTTTCTTTTCCTGCTGTAAGACTGTCATTCTAGTATTGTTTTATTTCTTAAGACCCCTCCAATATGGAATAGCTCTCGTCTCCTTAATATATCCCTTTTCCCTTGGGCTCTGTGTTGGTTCTCCACTATTACTTTGAGGTTATGGACTCTTGGCACCTCTCCTCTCTATTCATTGCTGCTCCACTGGTGCCCATCCAGGCTTGGTGTTGGCTATGACTGCACTGTGAGTTATGCCCTCCCTCCTTTCCTTAGATCCACTGAACAACCTGTGAACAGGCACTCTCTGACTACATAAATGTCCTACTTCTCATCACTTTCTCCTTAGATTTGGCAGCATACAATAATAATGCCCTCTCTGGGTGGAAATGATAGTTATCTGGTATAATGCCCTCCCTGTTCAGTCAGCCCTCAGCATTCTGCTTGAACAGCCACCATCCCTCCTTCCTGGGCATAGGGTATTTGTCTATCCAATTCTTATCTGTAAAGATTTAAAGGTTCTTGTATTTTTTTTTATTGTTTTGGTGCTAAAATTGTCACTAGGAAAAATTTTGTGTAAGGAAAAGTGAACGATCTTCATTTTAACTAATCAATTATTAATTTTCTTTAGAAAAAAATGAATTCAAAAACTTAGTTGCCAGCTACTTGTTTTTCAGTGGTAAACAGAAAGACCAGAGATTGTATATTTATTGGTAAAGCATTAATTCTAACACACCTTGGTTTTCACTGCTTGTCTCTTTTTTTCATTCTCAGCTATTTGGTGATGTTTGTTTCCACTGCAACCGTGTCATAGAAGGTGATGGTATGTATCTGTGGGTGTATGAGACCATTTTGGCATAAGAACAATTGGGTGGTATGAAAATTGAAAGAAGCTGATTGCTACTGTGGGTTGTAATGTGGTCATTATCAGTTGTTTTCCTCTTGTTATGCTTCTCAAGTACTCAGCAGAGAGATGTGCTAATGAGGCAGCACAGCTGCTGTAAACCCTGCGGGAGCTGCTAGGCCTTACTGCATGGGCTGAGCAGGCAAGACAGATTGGCTGCAACACAGAGAAAGCAGCTGTGTTTGCTAATGGTCACTAACCAATCCTGCCAGAAATTTCCTGACAAAGTTCTAAACAACCCTGTTTGCAGCATGCTTTATGGTTTTCAGCAGACATCACACCTAATCAAGAAACACAGGATTAGTTCAAGGAGCCATCTTTGGTGCATTGCTAATCAGTTTAACCCCTCCCTGCAGGATACACTTGTCAGGTAAAAGACAAAGAAAGTTATATTCTTATTGTCAACTATGAGAAAAAGACCCCTTTCAGTCAGATAAATTAAAGTCTGGGTTCAAAATGTTTTATCTAATTCATATTTCTTCAGTGGGCCAGTAGCAGTAAAAACACAAACATAGCAGAGAGCTTGTTGGGTTCAAGCCCTGTCAGAAAAACTCATTTGAGCTCCATGAGACAGACAGGCTGTCTGCTGTCCACAGTGCTGAGCAGGACAAGTATTCAGTGTTTCCAATTTGTAAGTAAAGAAAAATTGAAAGTTAAAGTAAAATAGAGCTGGAGAGAGAGCTCAGTGGGTAAATGCTTGTGTAACAAAGACCAGAGTTCTATCCTTAGCACCACGTAAGTGCCTGTAATTCCAGTGTTTGGAAGGCAGAGACAGTGCCCCTCCCCACCCACAGCAAGCTGCCAACCACACTAGCTGTATTGGCTAGCTCTGAGAGACCTTTCCTCAATAAGATTGAGAGCTATCATAAAAGCTCCCATGTCAGCCTCACAGTTCTCTTTACATACACATGCATGTGTACCCACACATGCTTACATACACAAAGACATGTGCAAAAAAGAAAAAAAATTGAAAGACAGAAATAGTCTTGCTTAAATTGAAATGTGAAAAAAGCCAGGCATGGTGGTACACTCCTTTAATCCCAGCACTCAGAAGACAGATGTAAATTTATGACTTTGAGACCAGCCTGGTCCTCATCTAGTAAGTTCCAGGCCAGCCAAGAACTACATAGTGAAACTTTGCCTCAAAAAGCAAACACTCAAAAAAGAGAAAAAAAAAAAATGTCATAATAAAAGTAAATAAATAAATAAGGGCTGGAGAGATAGCTTGGTGGTTAAAAGCACTATCTACAGAGGTCCTGAGTTCAGTTCCCAGCAACCCATAGTGACTCACTGCCATCTATATTGGGACTGATGCCCTCTTCTGGCATGCAGGTATACATGCAGATAGAGCACTCATATACTTAAATAGATTTGTTAGAAGCACAATAATAGAATTGAGCTTTTTGGCTGTGTTTTTGCAAGGAAAATTTTAAAAAATTTAAAAAAAAAAAAAGACCTCTTACCAGACATGGTGATGAACATATAGAATCCCAGAATCAAGGAGGCTAAAACAGGAAGATAGATGAGTTCAGTCCAGTCTGAGTTATAGCATAAGCCTCTGTCTCAAACAGAAACCTCTCAAGAAAGAAGACTTCAGCCCTTCTTCCAGGTACCTGGGTAACAGCCTCTTTTGTTCTTCAGGATTGAAAACTGAAGCCCCTCTTCCCACAATGAAATGCTCCCATTTTTTGATGAGCTCTCTTTTTCCCACAGTGGTCTCTGCCCTCAACAAGGCCTGGTGTGTGAGCTGTTTTGCCTGTTCCACCTGCAATACCAAATTAACACTCAAGTAAGTCCTTAGTCTAGCCCATTGTGCTTATGAAAGCTAAAAGTTTTTAGATGCCATTTAGAATCTAAAAAGGGAAGTGATTAATTCCTGTCTCTTCTTTCTCTTGAGTCATTCTGAAAGTCAATGTTCTTTAATTGTTCCTGTTCTGTCCCTTCTTTGTTCTGCTCAAAGGGATAAGTTTGTTGAAATTGATCTAAAGCCAGTCTGCAAATACTGTTATGAGAAAATGCCAGAAGAGTTTAAGAGGCGCCTTGCCAAACGAGAGAGAGAAGCAAAGGATAAAGACAAGCAGAGAAAGAGAAAGCCAGTGTGTCTGTAAACGTTCTATCCCTTCCACGTCACTCTCATTGCTTCTCCTGTGGTTAGTCTTTTAGGATCCCTTTCTTTTCTACTTGTCTTTCTGGTCTTCTTTTTTTCTTAATGCATGTTTTTGTGGCCATTAGAAGTTGAAATACTTGTCATATGTAGAGTTGGTTCTTTTGCTTAATGAGATCCTGGGCTTGAGTGCGCAGGCCTGCCTCCTCTGGAGTCAGCTCAGCACTTCTGTCCCAGTGTGGCATAGGCACCTTTCTCTGCAGTCTTTAAATGGTAGTGGGAGCAGTTTGAAAGTACTTTATGTCTATTAATTGCTGCTGGTCTTTGATTTCTTTGCCTAAATGAGTGTTGCATGTCTCTAGAACCACGTGTTCTCAGTGCTGAGTTCTCTCAACATGTCCCATACCTAAACAGAGCATCTAAATCACACAGTAAATCTATCCCCTGTAGTGTTAGTGCATGCATGCTTCCTGCCGCTTGTGAATTCATTTCCTTCAGTGTCCAGACTCTTACTCTTGATTTGTATGGGATGTATGTAGATCTTTGACATTTTCTTGAATTACTGACATGGTTATTTCAAGTTTTTTTTCCTCACAGTGTTTTTTTTTTTTTTTTAAGATTTATCATGTATACCATGTTCTGTGTGCCTTTACACCTGCACACCAGAAAAGGGCACCAATCTCATTATAGATGGTTATGAGCCACCATGTAGTTGGTGGGACTTGAACTCAGGACCTCTGAAAGAGCAACCAGTGCTCTTAACCTCTGAGCCACCTCTCCATCGCCTTCCTCACAGTGTTTTAAACTCTAAAAGAAATTTTGTTTCATTTTCTTATTTCCTTTTGTTGAAGAATTAAAAGGCAAAATAAACTTCAAACAAGAAAACTAGTTAGTCTCTCTAAAGCAGGAATAATATATTTAAGCTTTTACCACCAAAACCAACTTTTGTTCTAAGAAAACATTAGGAAACTAGTTTAGTTATAGTTGTAGAACACGTGTGGTTCTAGAGCTATCCAACACTTAGAAATTCTCAGCTAAATGATTTTAGGCAGAGAAACCAAAGACCAGCAGCAGTTGATAGAGGTAATGTACTTTCAAACTGCTCCTGCTACCATTTAAATATCGTAGAGAAAGGTGTCTAGACCACACTGGGACAGAAAAGCTGACCTGAGTCCAGAGGAGGCAGGCCTGTGAGTGCAAGCATGTTCTCACCACCATTTAAACCAAACTTCCCCTCAAATATTTGATTTGCCAATTGGCAACATATAACATTTGAATTAGTATCAGCATTCATTTCTCTGTAAAAAAGCAGATGGAAAGCCAGGATCATACCTGTCATCCCTGCATTTGGGAGGCTGAAACAGGAGGATTGTCTTGAATTCAAGGCTACTCTGAGCCATACATGATTATAATACTATAAAAACATATAAAAATGTCTCAAAAAACAAAAAAAAATAGAAAAAATTTAAATATGTGGTTAGGAATTATTTTTGTTATTAACATTGTTCTTTAAAATTAACCTCAATGCTGGATGTGATGGCACACACCTTTAATCCAGCACTCAGGAAGCAACAGCAGGCAGATCTCTTTGAGTTCAAGGCCAACCTGTTCTACATAGAGTTCCAGGCTAGCTAGAGCTACATAGTAAGAGGCTATCTAGAAAAGAAAAGGAGAAAAAAAAATTACCTCAAAATAAGTAGTTTAAAATGCTTTAAGATTTCGGAGCCTGGTGTGTTGCTGCACACCTGTAATCCCAGTACTTGGGAGGCAGAGGCAAGCAGGTATTTGTGAATTCTAGGCCAGCCTGTTCTGCAGAGCTAGGCCAGGACAGCCAGAGCTTGATACACAGAGAAACTCTGTCTCGAAAAACCAAACCAAACCAAACCAAACCAAACCAAACCAAAGATATTAGCACAAGCCAGTCATGGTGGTACATGCCTATAATCCCAGCACTCTGGGAAGCAGAGGTTTGCTGTGAGTTAGAGACCAGTCTGGTCTACAAAGTGAGTCCAAGACAGCCAAGGCTATACAGAGAAACCTTTCTCAAAAACAAACAAATAAAAAAACAAATTTTAAAAGATCAGCACATTTTGTAATTATTGTCATCCATAACAATGTAGGCTTATTTTACAAATGCTTTGTAAGTATACCTTCACAACAAATGAACAAGTTATAAAGTTATATACTAACTCAAAATTACAGGCCTTGAAATTCAGCAGTAAGAAGCTCCCATAGTTAGCTTTTGTGAGTACATTAGAAATGGAGACCTTCTCAGAGTTTTCTCCAGAGCTGTTTATAAGTGGATTGATACTATATGTGTGTTTTGTTTGTTTGTTTTAATTTTAAAAGAAGAATCATATTCTTCACTGAACTATCACTTAAGAAAAACTTAAGGGTGTTCAAGAATGATAACTACCCTTTTTGTTCCAATAGCTAAAATAACCTATGATGATTTGAGCTCAATTTTTTTTTTAACAATTTAAGGTAATTGTTTTTTAAATTTTTTAAAAAACTGAAGGAAAATCATTTTTATAGGGAAAGATGAAATGATGTAGTTGCCTAGTTTAAAATACTAAATACTTATTAAGATTTTTTTTGCCTTCAAAAACTAAATCATTCACATTATAAAAATCAGTTCTTTGCTTTAAATAAATACATTGTTTGAATAAATTTACTAGTGACAAGCATGGTCCATAGTTATAATCTCAGCACTGGGGAGGCTGAGACAGGAAAATCACTGTAAGTTCTAGGCAGGCCTGGACTATAGACTGAGACTGTCGCAACAAACTAGGGGATATGAGGTCCTGAGAAGAAGAAAGCGTTAGCCTGATACTTTAAAATGTGATTGACTTTACTTGGGCTGGAGACGTGGCTATGGGGTTAAGCACTTACTATTCTTTCAAAGGACCCAGGTTCAATTAATTCTAAGCATACACTGAGCAGCTTACAACCATCTCTAGTCCATTCCACTCAAGAGGATCCAACAACCTCTTCTGACCTCTATGAGCACCAGGTAGTACACAGATACACATTCATATACATAAAATAAATAAATCTAAAAAAATAAAATTAACTTTACCTAAATTATATTTACTTTAGAGTTCCTAGGAACACTAAGATTTAATAAACATTCCATGTTCTAAATGTAGGGGTATAGAACCATTAAGTAAGCATATTCTTTCAACTGATACCAGTCATTCTTTATATTTATCATAATAATTGATATTAGAATTATAGTTCTTTACTGACATGAATATTTTGTATAGTATGTTATATGGTGTCTTTTATATGTAGTTTAATGAATTTATGTCACTTTATCATATATTTGTGTATGTGTATATTGGATATATTTCTCCTAATTTCTTTTTTATATATAATTATCTTTAGGAATAAATTTGTGGAGTTTGACATGAAACCAGTCTGTAAGAAGTGCTATGAGAAGTTTCCTTTGGAGCTGAAGAAAAGACTTAAAAAACTGGCTGAGACCTTAGGAAGGAAATAACTCTGGTTTGGATTTTGGTGGCAGTTTTTTGTTTTTTGTTTTTCTCTCTCTTCTAGCCAATATTACTTAACTTGATCTACCCTTTTTTAAAGCTATATAGAGCCTTAAAGAAAATGGTTTTCTTCATTTCCATTTTCTCATTTAACAAAACAAAAGAAATGTTTATTTCTATGTAAAACAGATGAAATCAGGACTTACTTTAGCCATAGTAATCTGTAGACATTAAAAGCTATATAGCTAGCCAACCGCCCCCTCCAAAAAAAAGCATGTTAAAGGATAGTTTTAATTGAGCCCTGCCCTCCAAAAAATAAATTTAACTCTTCAAAATTAAAACAACCCTTCTCTGCGGACCAACAAAAGTACTTGCTGACAGATCTGGTGGACTAAGTTGAATCCTGGGTCCATGTGGAAAGAGAACTCACTCAAGTTGTCCTCTAACCTCCACAGCACTGTTTACATATGTGCTGGTACATAAAATTAATAAACATAGTTAAACAAACACTGTTTTAAAGAGTCATCTTTACATGGTGCAGAAGACTCCACATTTTGCTTTTCTTTATGTCATAAAATAATTTCCCACTAATATGCTGGGGAAGTGTATAGGAAAGATAAGTAAACTACCAAAAAGTTCCTTCGCAGTCTTAATGTTTTTAGCCAATTAGCATTGTAAAAGAAAAATGTATATTACTAAGAAACAAAAGCATTTCAGAAAACCTGATTTTTTTTTTTTTTGTTAGATCAGTATGCTTAGTTTTCTATTTTGTTTTCCTTATGAAATTCTTCCTTCATACAATTATTTAACATACTGGTAGCTGTTAGTATATCTTCTACATTTATGAGCAAAACAAAGCAAAAAAATATACCAGTTATCTGAAAAATAATGCATACCTTGTGATATTGGAAAAAATGAAGCATTTTAAAAATATATTACACTTTATGCTTTTAAGCTTAATTAAAACATGAGATAGATTGTTATACAGCTTAAGAGTATATCACTTTCAAAGGAGGGTGTAAGCCAGCGATAGCAGCAGAGGCAGACAGATTTCTGTGAGTCCTAGTCCAGCCAGGGCGGCATATTGAAACCTTGTTTCAGAAAAAAATGGCTATCTGTATCCTGTTACCTTTCTGCTAATATCTATGCTTCATACATAATCTAACTTGCCTTGCCTTAAATAACTGCATCCTGTAATCAGAAATGCTAAATGTTTCTTAAATACCAAATAATAATAAATACTTGGACTGAGATTTTAGGGTTTTTTTTTTTTCTTCACTTCTAATGTCATAACTGAGTTTTATTTACTAGAAAATAGTAAAAAGGCATAAATGATACTCTTACATTGAAAGAGGATAGGGAGAATGTTAACCTTAGGTGAAAATCAGTGAGTTCTATTTTATAAAAATTTTTATCCTGAAATGTTTGGACTATTCTTTTTGTATAAACTTCATATGCAAAAGTAGGAGCATTTTTAAAATGTTCCTGCTGTTAACATGTTACCTTTTTTTTTTTTTTCTAAGTTGCCAGAATAAATGTTACAAACATTTTTGGATATGGTGACTTATATTGTAATCTCAGCCCTTGGGAGGCAGAAGCAGGAAGACTACCATGAGTTGAAGGCGAATCCAAGGTTACAATGTGAAATTCTATCCCCATAAACAAAAACACTTGTATATTGTGTTGTCATAAAGAATATCTGAGGAGCCTAGGAAAAAGCCCAGTCAGTACAGTCTTTAGGACCTGAGTTAGAAACCAAGCAGATCCCTGGATTTAATGGTTAGCCGACCCAGCCTAACTGGTGAGCCCCAGATCCAAGAGGAAAACCCTGTCTCAAAAGAACCAAGGTGGGTGGCTCCTGAGGAATGACAGACAAGATTGACATCCAGTCTTCACATGCACATATATGTATGCACATATCCAGAAATACATGCACATACACAAAATATGATATCTCAGGATGCTATTACTCTGCCATTAAAAGTTTGTAATCATGATTTTTTTAAATACTTGGTTATGGAGTACATTTTTGTGTTCAGATAACTAATGTGTAACCAATCATTTTATTTCTTAATATTCTTTTGGAATTAAGAGAATTATAAGTGATTAAAAATAACACATGCTTTGTATGTTTGTTTAGCAGTTTAAATTTGTCTTTGCTTTTATTATTAAGAACCAACATTTCTTCAGTGTGCCTTTGTCAGCTAAGAATGACAAGCAGTGAATACCTTAAAAGTATTTATAAAGTATTATACATGCATTTAGGCAAATAGAATTTGTAGTCTAGGGTTTTGATGCTAAGTTCTTATGTACCTCACTAGAAATATGGAGAAAAGCATGCATTCACGTGCATTGGGGATGCATGGCTGGGGCCTAATTGCCTTTGCTTACATGTCATCGCTTAACCAGAATCCCTACTACTGTCTTTGCTCAGTCATCTTTAGACAGGAATGTTTCAGAAAGTTTGATTTGCTAATTATATGATAATTCATCTAGAGATGATATGTCGTTGGAGCTTTTATTGTGGAAAAAGAAGATGGGGATTTAAGTTGGGTAAAGACAAAGACTTCATCTAGTTCCTGTTGTGGGGTTTTACTGGTTACTGACATTTGTCAGTCAAGATTTCTGTTTGAATTTTTAAGAACAATCTGAAATAATTCATTGTGCTTATGAAATTTCTAAGTGTCCTTCTTATCCTTAGTTATCCTAATGTAATGGGGAAAATGGATACACATAGAATATTTTGTGTGTCATATTAAAAGCCTTATTAATACTTTTCCTGAAATAGGTCATTCTGCCTCATCCATTTGCCAAAGTGCCGAATCCAAGTTAAGGAAACTTTGACATAGGCTGACAATATTCTTGTATTTTATTTTAGATTGTAAGCATAATGGCAGGAAATCATATCAGTAATTGTGCTTTTTATGTAGCAATCATTGCTGTATACCTGTGGTGCTTAATAAATGTTTATAACTAGTCATAACATGTTGTGTATCATTTAGTTTGACATCCAAATGTTCATTTAATATAATATGGTAGAAACATTCATATATGTAAGTAAAAAAAAATGTCCTGGGTATTGTTTATAAGCCAAGTTTTACCACCTTTTGTATTAACTTTTCCTGGGGCAACATAGATAAATGTCTTCTTATCCCAAATAGAGAACCATTCTACCCATATGGCTTACTGATCAGTTATTTTTACTGGACTAACAACCAGGAGCATGGGTAAAGGCTATTTACAGGAGTGTGGCTAACTCTAAAACAGCTGCATCATGTCAGCATCAGGGCAACCTCTCCCCAAAGCCACAAACATGGAACCCCATCCTTGAGTTACCTTTCCTCTATATATTTAACGCCTCTCACAACCTTATGCCGCTGGGGCAGAGTCACATGCATCTGGGGCTTATTCTGCAGGAGGGAGGGAGGGAGTGGTTTGTATCTCAAGTGAGGACCTAATTACCTCCCACACAGGCCTCCTGTGAGGAATCCAAGCAGCCTGTCTTGCTCAGGCCCTCTTGCCAGGTCATCAGCAGCTATGGTTATGATGGTACTTCTGTTTTACTCCAAGACAACATTCCACAATGCCACAGAAGTGTTGAATGGCAATATAAAAATGCTAATATATTTCAGCTCTGGTGACCCATTCCAGGCCTGGCCTTGTGTTTACTAGATACACCAGTTCATTTGCGCATTGACCAAATGCCTGACAAGAAGCAATTTAAGGGATGAAGAGTCTATTGTGATGAGGAAGCATGAGTCAACTTGCTGGGCAGATTAGGAAATAGAGGGAGGCCTTAGCTGCAGTCAGTTCTGGCCTATAACCCCTAAGACCCACCCACTGAGACCCCATGGAGATAGTTCATATTCAAACCTCAAGGCCTAGTAAGTACTCTGCCACTGAACTGAATCTAAGCTTTCATTTGAATTTCCCTCTCCTATGTTCTATGTAAATTCCTTCAAGGCAAATGGGGCCTTCCTTTGGGGATGTGTGAAATACAAGAGTAGATTACAGACCACCATAAATATAAGGCCACTTTAAAGTGCTTCATTCAAGCCTGTGATCAAGAGCAAGTTTCTGCCATAAGGAATACTTGTCCTGAAGTGAAGCAGAGTAGTGTTTATAAAGCCAAAACCCACATTCACCTCACTCCAGAATGGCCCAAGAAAAGATCAAGAAAGGAACGTGGTGACCTCTATCTTCAAAAGTCTACTGTTATGTTCCTCAAGCTGTGTGTGTAGATCACATTGGCCTCCAGGTTTATAATGGGAGCAGAGCTAAAGAGCTGGTCATTGTTTCTGGAAGATGACTTGGAGAAGTGTCTCCCTCTGCAGATCATGGTGTTTTCTTTCCCCAGGTGGTTTGGAGCCACAAGATGGCACCCATGACTTGGAGTTTAAATGAGCACCATTGGCTAAGTCCACTGTGCTTTCTGGCCCAGTGCCAAAGCCTGTGTCTGAATTTTCAGGACAGAGTTTATCTATGTAGCCTTGCCTGTCCTGGATGCTGTAGACCAGGCTGGCCTCGAACTCACAGAGATCCACCTGCCTCTGTCTCCCAAGTCCTGGGACTAAAGGTGTGTGCCACCACTGCCTGGCCAAAGCCTCTGTCTTATATTATTTAAAACTTCCTTGGCAATGGTGTTTGTTTTGTTTTGTTTTGTTTTGTTTTAGTCTTTGAGACAGGGTTTCTCTATGCTGAAAATCGATTTGTAGACCAGACTGACCTGGAACTCACAGAGATCTGCCCTCTTCTGCCTCCCGAGTGCTGGGATTAAAGGCATTCGCCACCACTACCTGGCTACTCTACAGAACTTTTTAAAGAGTCCGTTACCTCTCAGCCCTGGAATTAGCTTTTGCTAAGAGGGGAATTGAAAGCCAAGGTAGAAGGCATGGTCAACTGAACTAGCATACAGGTCCCATACCAGCTGTCAGGCTTAGGCACAAGGTTCCCCTATTCACAGAGTCCACACATGTCCGGGCAACAGTGAGGGCTGAGTAATTGCTATTTGCCTTGCTGTTGCTTGAAAGTGGGTATAAACTCTTAAGATCCTCCTCTGGACAAGAGACTCCATCCCTCTCCATGTGAGACATGGAAAGTAATTTGTCTTTTTCATAGATGAGGACAACCGTAGACTGAAGCAGCAGATTCAGGCAAGTTTTATTTTCCTGTGCACCCCTATCCTGTGATGAGACCATCATGGAATTTACTTTGGTGGAGTCTGTGTCCCATCCAAAGATTATATAAGTCTGAAGATGTCCTACCATGAAAGTATATTGTAAATTTAATGCATTTTACTCAAGTATTCAATTCTCCATAGCCAGTTCTTTTTAATATATCTGATTTTGAATATTATTTTTAAACTTTAGACTTAAGTATTAGACTTAATTTTTGAAAACATATATAGAAGGAGATATATAGATATATTGTTTTTTGGGTTTTTTTTCCAGACTTTTTTTGTGTAGCCCTGGAAGTCCTAGAACTCACTCTGTAGACCAGGCTGGCCTTCAATTCAGAAATCCACCATGTGGTTTGAATAGGAATGGCCCCCATAGACTCATGTGTGTGACAGCTTGGGGAGTGTGTGACTCATGGGGAGTGGCCCCATTAGGAGGGGTGGCCTCGTTGGAGTAGCTGTGGCCATGCTGGAGGAAGTGTGTCCCTGTGGGGCAGGTTTCAAGCTCGTATGCTCAAGCTGGGCCTAGTAGGGCTTTCACTTCTGCTACCTGCGAATCAAGGTAGAGAAAGACCTTTCAGCCCTTTATCTGGCATGTCTGCCTGCACACCACCATGTTTCCCACCATGATGATAATGAACCAAACCTCTGAAATTAAATGTTTTCCGTTATAGGAGTTTCCGTAGTCTTGGTATCTCTTCACATCTGCCTTCTGAGTGTTGGGACTACAGGCCTGTGCCACCACTGCCCAGCTACCAAAGGCTTTATAATGAGAAATATAAATTGATCTCTGCCTCCAGTTTTATCTCTAGAAATGAATTACATTGTATTTGGTATGACTGAAAATATACAATCATTTATATATGCAAATATTCTGAGTACATTACGAACATTTAATTATAAAGTGGCTGATCATTAATTTTTGTTTTAATCACATTTGTTTAAACAATTAATGATAAATTATTAACTCATGAGATTAGGATTTTATAAACTAAGGTAATTTTTTGGTGTGTGGGGGTAGAGGGAGTTTCAAGACAGGGTTTGTGCCCTGGCTGTCCTTGAACTCAGACATCTTCCTGCCCCTGCCTCTTAAGTCCTGGGATTGAAGACATACACCACCACTGCCTGGCTAAACTAAGGTAATTTATTTCTGTTAAAAATTTGAGCCTTCGCCAGGCACAGTGGCACACACCTGTAATCCCAGCACTCAGGAAGCAGAGGCAAGCAGATCTCTGTGAGTTCAAGGCTAGCCTGGTCTACATACCAAGTCCACGACAGCCAAGGCTACCCAGAGAAAAACTGTCTCAGAAAAAAAAAAAAAAAAAAAAAAAAAAAGCCTTGGTCTTTCTGTCAGTGGCAGAGGAAGCAAGGTGATGAAACTGTCACAATAGGACACACACCTTGTGCTGTGGCTCCAAGGATACCAACTGCAGAAGTGGACTATGCCAAGTGCAAGAGAGAGTGTGCCTGGAGCGCTAAAGCTAAGAACAAAGTGCTCTGAGGACTGGGCAAATGAGTATGTAAGATTGTCTATCGCGCTCTCTTGGTCCTTTCTCTCTTGGTCTCTCTTGTTCCTGGTCTCTCTTGTTCCTGGCTTCTTCGCTCTTGGCCTTCTCCCCTTTCTCTATCGGGGTGCCCCCTTTCTCTTTTTCCCCTCTCTCATTCTTCCCATTATGTCCTGCTCTCCCTTCTCTCCCTCTCTTTGTATCTACCTAATAAACCTCTTTTATAATTAAAAAAAAAAAAAAGATTGTCTATCACACCTTAAGACACAGATTACTTGAAGGAACAACACCTAAACCCAAGAGGGCAACTATTACAACATCTGGTTCATCTTACGGGTTTCAACAGTCAGTCCTAAAATAAATGTCTGGTTTCAAACAAACAAGCCTACAAACAAAATGTGTAATGAGCCTTACAAATTATATTTTTTGAGTTGAAGCTCTTCTCGTACCAAAATAAGCTTTAAACCATAAATACAGTTTATAGGGAAACTGAGAACCTCACTCTCCCAATCCTCTCATATAATAGATGGGGTTTTTTGTTTTGTTTTGTTTTGTTTTGTTTTTCCAGACAAGGTTTCTCTGTGCAGCCTAGGCTGTCCTGAACTCACTTTGTAGACAGGCTGGCCTCAAACATCAGTCTGCCTACCTGTGCCTCCCAAGTGCTAGGATTAAAGGCATGTGCCACCACGGCCAGCTAACAGGTCTTTTATATTAAGTAGGTGTGGTGGCAAATGCCTATAGTCCCAGAATGTAGTTACAGGAACAATAAGATTGGTTTTCATAAAGGAAGTATGTTTAAGTCAGCTTTTGTTAACATGAATAGTCTGTTATAATCTTAGGAACATTAACAAATTTATAACTATTATAGCACATTATAAACCATTTACATTTCATCCCTCATACACCTCATATAACATGTTCAGACTTTCTGTGATTTGGCTTTGAACTTTATAGATTTGTTTTTATCTTCGTTTATATAAATCTTCCCATCTAAAATAATTTATTTTTTAACTGATTTTGGTTTTTAGCCTTTATACCCTCATTAATCCAGAAAACCTTGAAGCTTCATACAGTTAAGTTTAATATTTATCTTTTTAAATTATTCTAATATTTGTACCAATAAAGACAAAGGAGGCATAAACTAAGATAAAAACCTGCTAGCTCAGCAAGGTAACTTTATTTTCTTAACTATATAAAAAATATATATTTACAAGCCTGGTTCTACAACTAATTTACTAGCTCTTTAGAAATCTTTTTTCTATCAGTGTCCTTTAAACTAGTGTCACAAGTACTTGATTATGC